GGCCTTCCTCACTCCCGGGAGCTCAGCGTGTCACAGCCACAGCCATGAAGTGTCTCCAGCTCACCCTGGGCCTGGCCCTTGTGTGTGGCCTCCAGGCCATCGTCATCCCCCAGAACATGGAGAATCTGGACCTACAGAAGGTGGGAGGACGGCGGGGCCGGGGGATGAACCGCAGGCCGGGCAGGGCAATGGGAACTCAGGGGCGACACGAGCCCGAGCCGGACCCTTGAGGTCGGGAAACCCCCACCTGCCTCTCCGTCTTCGGGGCAGCTTGTCCCTTGGTTTCCCAAGATCCAGAATGTTCTAGAGAACTTGTCTGATGTGTATCCGGACCCATCTGGAGAACACAGGGGTGTTATTTCCAGCGTGGGAAATCGTGTAGCCCAGTGGCTGGTGGATGGCCCAGGGTCCTCCAGAGCTCACTGACGGCCGCCCCAGTTAGACTGGGCCTCTGCTGGGGTGGGAGGAAGAGACCTGGGGGAGCCGGGCCCCTTCCCGCCCCCATGGCACTCAAGGCCCCGTCCCCAGGTGGTGGGATGTGGCACTCCATGGCCATGGCGGCCAGCGACATCTCCCTCCTGGACTCCGAGGACGCCCCCCTGAGAGTGTACGTCCAGGAGCTGAGACCTACCCCCGAGAACAATCTGGAAATCATTCTGCGCATACGGTGGGTGTGCCCCCGCCCGGGGTTGGGGGCCAACAGGGAGGAGGGTAGGGGGTAGGCAGGGGGGCGGGCAGGGCAGGGTCCTGATGGGAGCCGGCTCCGTCTGGGTGGTTCCCCGTGCCCTCGTGACCCCACCCCGGGCTCCGGGCCAGCAGGCCGACCACATAGGCTGGCCTCAGGTCTGTGGGCAGAGAGGCCCGTGTGGAGGCCACTGGGCAGCCATGGGGCCGAGGCCCTGGGGGCCTGGGCAGGTCCTGCCATGAGCCCTGTCTGCTATGAGGGACCATAGTGAGGACAAGTTCAAGTCACCCCCTAATGCTGTCACCACCTTTCAGGGAAGACAACAGGTGTGTTGAGAAGAAGGTCTTTGCGGAGAAAACTGAGCGTGCAGCCAAGTTCAGCATCAACGGTAATCGTCCCCAGAGCCGTCCCTGGGAGGCGGCTGTCCTGGCGGTGGGAGGGAGAGGTGGGCACGTGCGCGTGCCCGGCTCTCTCACGGGGCGTGCTCTGCCCAAGCTCTGCGCCTCCGGCCTCCAGCCTCTCGGGTGGTGTGCAGCCCCCGCCGCGAGAGTTTCCTCCCCCACGACTGTCCTCGGAACGTCTTCTGGCTCACACGGAGCAGGGCTGCCTCCCGCTCGCTCTGGACGACTGGGACCCACAGCTCCCGCCGAGCTCCTGGACTCCGCTGGATGAGGGGACGCAGCGCGCCGTCGGGGTCGGTGGGACAGAACGCAGAGCACCTCCTTCTCTGCATTCTCTGTCACAGACTGCAACGTTCGTGGGGGGTGGGTGGTGAATTATAAAAAACACAAATGGAGAACTTAGTGGTAAATAGAAACAAAGGAGGCACTGAAATGTCTTGTGGGGATTCCCCCAGCAAATTCTACTTGTTTCTCTACTTAAGAGTTGCTCCAGGCCACCCTGACCCTCCTTCTCCTCTCCAGAACCCATGCCTCTCCAGGGCCTGGGTCTTCTGCCCCCCTCCTCCCTGGCTCTCTCCTCCCCGTGCTGGTCATGCCCCCCGCCCCCGAGCCCTCCCGCTCCTCCCTGCCCCACCGGAAGGCTGGTCTGTGTGCAGCCTCTGCTCTCCACACCCCGTCCTGCCACACGCCCGCCTCTCGCCCACCACAGGGGCTTTGTGCTCCGCTGCTCCTCTCCCTTTCCTCTCCTGCTGCCTCTGGCCATGCCCGCGCCTGGTGCTGCCTGGGGGAAACTCCGGGTGCCCACCAGCATGCGGGAGGGGTGCTCCTGCTGGACAGGACTCCATCTCCACTTTGGCCCTTCTCTTCGCCCCCAGATCTGGAGGAGAACGAGGTCTTCGTGCTCGACACAGACTACGACAACTACCTGTTCTTCTGTATGGAGAACACGGGCGCCGCCCAGCTGAGACTGACGTGCCAGTACCTGGGTAGGCACTGGCGATGCATGAGGTCACCCTGAGTGGGACGGTGGCTGAGGACCCCCTACTGGCACCCTGCGCACCCAGAAAGCAGACAGTGAAGCACCCTATGGGCCAGCGGGCCTGGGGGGTCCCCGTTTTTCCCCAGGGGTGGCCAAGTCCACTCACCACATCAGAAATTGAAAGGGGCCAGGAAGATGGTTGCTGGGTCAAGGGGCTGGGCTTAGTGTTACTGGCTTGGTCAAAAGATTAATACTAATTAGAAGCTTTTGTTGGCGGTGATGCTCTTAATGAAATGCCAGCCAGGAGAAGCCATAGCATAAGGCAGACACACTCCAGGTTTGTCCGAATGAAGCACTTTCTGGGGGCTCAGCTATGCTGGTGAGACCCTGGCCTAGGGGGCTGGGCCCTCTCCTCCTGTCCACACGCCATCCCGGGAGGAAGGGGAGGGAACAGGGACCTTGGAGCCCTGGGCTGACCCGCCGCCCCCCACAGCCAGGACCCTGAAGGTCGACAACGAGGTCGTGCAGAAATTCGACAGAGCCCTCAGGACCCTGCCCGTGCACATCCGGCTCTTCCTTAGCCCGACGCGGGTGGAAGGTGATCCCCTCCACACCCCACGTCCCCGATCGCCCCCGCGTGGGGCTCACCCACCGGACAGCCGCGACCGCTGGGCCCCACTGCCTCCCATGGTGGCCCCCCGCTTCCCAGACCGCCCAGGATGGGGGAGTGGGAGGTGCAGAGCCCCCGGGGTGGGGTCCTCCCGCCCCACCCCCTCTGCCGCACCCCTCTGGGCCCAGGGCTGTCCTGGCGACTTGTGACCCCCCTCTCACGGCTCGCCCCTCCCCCACCAACAGAGCAGTGCCGCGTCTAGGTGAGCTCCTGCCTGACCCGCCTCCTGCGGTAAAGTACCAGCTCTGCCCCCACGTCCTGGGCACACGCATGGGTGGGGGACATCCCAGGGGACCCCCAGCTCCCCTCCATTGGGCCCTGGTCCCTCTGTGGGAATAGCTGGAAACTGGCGTCCCTCCTGGTGACCGCAGGGGCCAGGCTGGCCACGGATACCCTCTCTCCCATGGCCTTCCTGGGATGTCCTTCCAATGTCCCAGTCAAGCTCTCACACAGATGTCCCCGTGGCCTCTTCTGGGCAAGGGTGTGGGGGCTGGCGTGGGCTGCCCACCACTCAGCCTGAGGCGGAGAGGCCGTCCCTCACCCCCAGGCTGGGAGGGCCTGGCGAGGGCCCAACAGGCTCCCCAGGAGTCACAGGGGAGCCCGCGTCCGTTTCAGGTCCCAGAGATGACATCGCCCCCTTCCTGCCCCATCAGAGGAATCAGGAGGGACCGAGCCCATCCGGGGCTCCCGGACCCACTCCTCCTCAGGCCGCGGGGTCCTCGGGGCCCCTGCTCTGAGCCTCTCCTCCTCCAGCAATAAAGGAATCAAGCAGCCAGCAGTCTGCCTCGGTCTTTCTTGGTCGTCGGGTGTGGGATGCACAGCTTAGGGAGTGGGGTGGGGGCGGGGTGGTGTCAGCGTGGGTCCCAACAGGGCCCCTTATCATCCCCGCCCCAGCATAAGGAGTGTTGGACACAGTCTCCCGTTACTGTGCGTGGCACCTCCCTCGTCCCAGGACCGTGGAAGCCCTGTGTGCTGACAGGGAGACACCTGGAGACTCATAAGTTTTCAGTTCCATTTCTTGAGAGAGAAATGCCTCGGGGGTCTTCTTGGTTCCTCCTGCTGTCCCGCCATCCTAGAGGTGGGGGTGTTGGATCTCCAGGGTGGGGAGGGGACACAGCCTGCGCTGTGGACAGACAGATGCCGAGACAGCAGCATCACAGGGCCCCCTCCCCAGCCCGGCCTTCCTGTTAGGGCTCCAGGCTCCCAGCAGGGGAGCCTCTGCAGAGGGGACCCACTCCCCACCAAGAGACAAGTGGGAGCGGGAAAATGTCCCGACCTTTGCACGCCGAGGCTGTGAGGGCCTTCCTTGAATCCTCACCAGCCCCCCAGAGGGCAGCTGTCCCCCGTCCACCCCGAGGGAGGGTGGCCAAGCAGCTCCCAGCCTCCAGGGCACACGGCCCGGTCGAGGCACAGTTGGACGTGGACCCCCACCCCGCCCCCAGGCCCCGCGGTTCCAGCCCTGCTCTAACTCCGACAGAAACCTCCTCTGAAGGGTCACACCCAGGTTCCAGCCCCGGAGACACAGTGATGGGGTCCAACCACAGGCCGTTGTATGTGCGGGGTGCCCCGCACAGAGGCGGGGTTCCACCCTCCTTAGTGGTCCTCTGGGCCACGCAGCCGACGTGGCAGTGAGGTATGGGTGCTGTGGCCAAGAGCGCAGACTGCAGGCCGGCCTGCTGTGACCTGTTTGCCGGGGACCCAGGCAGGCCCCCTCACTGCCCCGTGTCTGCTTCTTCTCTGCCCCGTGGAGAGGACAGGGAGTGGCGGGTGGGACCCCAGAAAGAGCTCAGGCTCCTCCATCTGTGGGCCCACCACCACCGCAGTCTCACGGTCCCGCCTTTGTAGCCACCACCACCCTCTGTCACTGGGGCCTCAGGACCCCACATCAGGGCCACCCTGAGGTCTACAGACTGCCCTGCTTCCTGCTGGGCCCCTCCTGCCACCACCCCTTGTTGAAAGTCAGCAAAGCCACCTCCGTGCTCCTCCGTGCTGCCCCACAGATACGAGCCCCGAAGATCCCACCAGCCTGGCAGGGGGACAAGGAAGGCCATGTGTTCTGGGACCCTAGGATCAGACAGTGGCAGGCTGCCCTGGGTGCCCCACTGGAGAGAAGGTGACTGCGCCCAGGCGTGTCCTGACACTGGCCAGGTAGCAGAAGGCAGCCCAGGGTAGATCAAACCAGAGTCCCTCCTGTGACACCAGGTTACCCAGTGCACTGGCCAAAAAGATCCGTGGGGCCCCTCCCACGGGAAGCAGCCTCTGGACGCCCCCCCTTCCACAGGAGGCCGGGCCTGAGGCTGGACTCATTTCAGAACCAGGCTTCACCGACACTGAGCACCCAGCTTCGGTGCGAACCCCAAGATTATTCGGCACAAGAGGGTTCTCAAAGGAGGTTCCAGGGCAGGCCTGGCCTTTCTGCGGAAGAGCGGTCGGGGCCAGGGGACGGGGCTCAGGTGCCTTCGGAGGAAAGAGAGTGAGACCCCTCCCGAGATGAGTGCTCCCAGAAGAAGGATGGGGAGGGCAGCCTCGGGACGAAAGGACGGGAGTGCCCGGAGATGGGCTGCTGTGGGCAATTAGACTTTTAATTATGGCAAAGTGCACAGAACGTGAATTACACCATCCCAGCGTTTCTAAGTGCACAGTCGGGGGGCGTCAGCGCGTTCACACTGTGGTGCGCCGTCCCCTCCGTCCGCCCCCAGAACGTGGTCGTCTGCCCACACTGGACTCTGTCCCATTAGACAGTGTCTGTCCTCCCCCGGCCCCCGGCCCCCCATCCTACTGTCCCCAGGAACTTGACTCCTCCGGGCCCTCACGTCAGTGGAAGCTTCAGGGCTGGTCCGTCGGAGCCGGGCTGATGTGTCCAGGCACCACGTCCTGCAGCTCCAACCACATGGTAGCAGGTGCCGGGATTCCCTCCTTTTTAAGGGGGAGTCACGTTCGAGGTGTGGCCGGGCCGCGTCCTGCTCATCCCTGCGCCTGCGCGCGGGCGCTTGGGCTGCTCCCCTCCTCAGGGCGGTGTGGACAGCGCTGCTGGGAACACGGGGGCAGAAAGAGCTCTCCAAGGTCCACTTCCAGACCTCTGGGGCACGGCGCGGCGTCGTGGGATCGTAGGCAATTCTGTCTGCTTTTCTGGGGAGCTGCCATCCATCCCACAGCAGTAACTTGGCTTTTAAGAGATTCTCTGTGGGGCCACCTGGGGGCCTCCGTCGGTGAAGCCTCTGCCTTTGGCTCAGGTCATGATCCCGGGGTCCTGGGATCCAGCCCCGCATCGGGCTCTCAGCTCAGCAGGGAACCCGCTTCTCCCTCTCCCCACTCGTGCTCGCTCTCTCTCTCTCAAATGAATAAATAAGAAATGCATTAAAAACAGAGACACTGTTTGGTGACACCCTGGGGGCCCCTTCAGCTCATTACAGTGTCTGTTCTACGACAGTGATCTGAGTGCCAACACGAGCGCCCGCTGCTCGGGGGGGCCCCGGGCCGCGGGGTCCTCCCCGTATGCCGCGGATCCGTGCAGGGAGGGAGCCCGCACCAGGAACGGAGCTGTTTCCGGGAGAAAGGGACCCACAGTTGTGCAAGCCTGGGGGCACCTGGTGCCAGCCCCACGGTCACACCCAGCAAAACGCAGACTCGCGCTCCTGAGCCACGCAGACGCCTGCTGGGGGGGGAGGGGTCCCCGGGAGACAGGGCGGCGCATGCAAGAGGGGCTCTCACAGAGTAAAGGCCCACTGACCCTCCCTGGCCCCGGGAGTTCAGCCTAAGAATGTAAGTCCCAGCTCCCGCAGCCCGAGCGCCCACGCACAGGCGCACGGATGAGCAGGACGAGACTGGCCCCACTTCCAAAGCACGGGGCGGGGGGTCCCAAGGGGCGGGGAGCAGGGGAACGCCTGCAGGGCCCAGTCTCCTCCCAGGCCCCACTGGCTGGGGCAGCGACCTGGGAAAGTAGGACCCCCGGGGCCTTGGTCTCCCGCTCCCCAGACAGCACCAACTGCGGAGACACCCCACGTGTCTCTGCAACGGAGCTCTGCGGAACACCGTTTCAGGACAGACAAATGGGTGCGTCCCGCACCCTGCGCTCTGTGGCCCCCACGGGCAGGAACACGACAGCACCTCTGAGCCCCGTGCCGAGCAGATGCTCGTGGGTGGTGGGACCTGCACCTCCCAAGTTCACCAGAAAACACGGCGTTCGCGTCTCACCTGCGGACCCATCTGGAAGCCGGGCGGGATTAGGAGTGTGTCCTCCCGCCTCGCAGCCGCGGCACAGGGGACGCCTGCCAGAGCCACCGGGCCCGGCCCACTGGGGGTCTGCGGTGGACAGAAGCCTGTTCTCCCCGAGTTCAGAGACCCAAAGCCCAGGGTCAAGGTGTGGACAGGGCCGTGCTCCCTCCGAAGGCCCCAGGGAGGGTCCGGGCCTCTTCATCCCCGGGCGCTGTGGCCATGCCAGCCGCCCCTTGTCTCTGTCCCTCCAGATCCTGGCTCTGTCGTCACACGGCCTCCTCCCTGGGTCCCCACTGTGTCCATTTTCTCTTAAAAGGACTCTAGACGTTAGCCCCTGCTCCTGTGGGCCTCATAGGATGTAATCACAGCTGTAGAGGCCTTGTTTCCAAATAAGGTCACATTCAGAGGTTCCAGGGAGACATGGGTTTTGGGGGGACTCCAGCCCACCCAGTGTGCTGCCAGCGGCTCAGCGTATACCATGAACACGCTGACCGTGGCGGGCTGTCCCAGGACTGCAGGTGGGGTGGGAGGGCCGGAGGGGCCGCTGTGCACAAGGTGCCCCTACAGAGCCCACCGGACGTCCACCTCACTGGGCTGCAGGAAGGTCCGTTCCTCCCCCCTTTGCTCAACCCCCACCCAAGTTCCCGCAGACCTAGAACCGTGGTCCCCTGGGCACGGAGCCTCCCTGAGCAGGAGCCACGCCCACATTGAGACCTGCCATCTGCCCCAGGAGACGCAGGGGTCACGGAGCTTGGATGCCACTAGAGGGCCACACCCGAGTGACTGCCTTGCCCCTGAGACGGGAGCCCAGTGGGCCCAGGACCACCATCTCGCAGGAGGGGTGGGCTCCCTCCTGGCACAAGGATGACTGGTCCCCACGGAAGAGAACCCAGAGCTAGAGCTGAAGCGTCCTTATCCTCCAAGATGCGGACAGTGATGACACGTGGGCACCAAGGCCCCAAGCACAGGCCATGGGCCACCCGGGAAGGCCCAACACTTCTGGGCATCGGGAGAGTGAGGCTGTCCCTCCGTGGGACACGCTAGAGGCAGCTGTCCCCCTTCCTGCTCCTTCCTCCGCCCTGAAGCCCCCCTCCCCCCACCATGAGCAGGTTAACCGTCGGACGTGTCGGGCTCCGCTTGGGACACGGGGCGCCCACATCCCCTTTGGGGGCTGCCCGGACAACAGGGGTCAGCAGGACACGTTCTTCTGCCAGGGACACCCCTGGAGCTCCTGGGTCCCTGGTGACAGCTCACACAAGGAGCCCCGGGAAGCGTGTCAGGAAAACGTGGGAGCGGGCAGATGCAGGATTCCCACTGTGTGACCTTCACCGCCACACAGAGCCACGTGGAACCTGCCGGAGCTGCCCGCATGTGCACCACCCCCCGAGGGGTCACCCCGCCGATGCCCACAGCGGCAGCCGGCCCGTTGGTGCCTGTCGTAGCTGTTACTCAGCGTCCCATGTTCACAGAGCGCTC